GAAAACTTACGTGAGTAGATAAATGGGGACTCTCACCCCGGTGGGAGGAAAAATGCTGGCGGCGCTTGCATGGGAGATGAGACCAAGTTGCCGGTAACGCGGAAGCCGTGCATGCCCGAAAAAGGCGCAAAGCAAGGGAAACCCCACCTCCTGCGCTCGCCAGCTGGGCTCTGTTCTAGGAAGGAGGCAGTGGCAAACCACTTCTAAAACACCTTGCCTTGAAAACTGCAGGGACCCGTCCAGGCAGTCGCCGCAGAATCAGTCACGATTGAGTGCGGATTAAAAAAAAAAGTATTTCTCACAACTGAATTTTTGTCCTAACACTTAAATGTCTTGAATCTTCTAATTGGTTTTCCTCTCAGTCATCAAGAATACTTTTGCAAGTCAAATATTTAGATTACTTTTAGCAATAATTCACAATTAAAATTTAGAGAACACACATTCTAAAGCACTCAAAAGTAATCAATATGGACAGTTTACTCATATTGTAATTCACATTTATTTTTGGTTCCTGTAGTAGTTGATTTAGTCAATCTTCCAACTGAAGGTCATTTTCAAAGTATTTGTTATTTAGTGAACAACTACATTTCATTCATGCTGAAACCTGTCATATGCTTGCTAGAAAAAAGATTTTCATCACACCCCAGAATTTACTCCTTGAAAAGTCTCCTCATCATCTGTAATGGTATGTGGGAATGACCTTGGGGCACAGGAGGAAGAACCACAGGCTGGACTCATGTAAAAGATATCTCGGCCCACAGAAGGAGAGGGGGAGGGCATGGGAAGCATTTCAGAAGGGACCCTCCCTAGTTTTTTGGAGAGTAAAAGGAGAGGAGGGGAGAAATACTTTTAGATTTGCAAGATTCTGTTAATGTAACCATACAATATAGAGCTGGTATTCATTGTTGTGCTTCTTTTCTGGACTACTCCTGAAGGTGAGTATGTACAATAGCACCTCCTCAGGAATTATTAATCTGAAACATACTTTGTACAAACCTAGATGTCCCAACTGCTATTTACAGTTAGGTAGCTTTTAAGGAATAGTAAAACAAAATGCAAATAGTTACAACTGTTCATTTATAAGCCTGTTCAGCTGTGCCTCCCCCATACTCTCTTTGCAGATGTGCCTTACCCCCTGAATGTTGGATGTTAACACTCAATTTGATAGACTGAAAATAAGGGATTGAAGCATGCAGAAAGCATGCAGTGCAACATGGTTAATATGTTCATCCCAATTGCTCTTCGTACATAAAGCAAACACCTGGAGAGAGCTATGGTTGTTTTTGTAGCCTTTAACTTACATTCATAGCTGTTTCAGCCCCTGTGCGCACTTCAACCTGTCCAGTCCTCCATCGTTCATCATTTCCCATATTCTGTTCCCAGGAAGGACTCCTGGTAGTATTACCTAGGGATACTTGTAGTTTCCCTACCCTTTCTCCTGCAAGCCGATAACTAAAAATCAAACAATAAATGCTCTTTGGCTCCAGATGGGTAAGAAGAAGTTTTATCCGCCCAACATCTTTCTTGTATCCCATGAAGGCTGGAACTGTCATGTAATATCCATCACCTAAAAATATACAGAAGGGAAATTACAAAGAGGGAAACAAAATGTGACTTTTGCTTCATTCTAGATGCTATGGCTACTTCCCCAAAAGTAAAAGACCACTGCTATTTGTGCAGAAAATGTCAGATTCACCTCCTGACATCTCCAGTTAAATAAGATCAGGAAGCAAGGGGAGAGAAAGATTCTGCCTGAGGCTCTGGAGAGCTGTTTGGATTAGATGAATGTTCTTATCTGAAATATACTGTAGGTCCAGGGATTCCCTCAAAAGCTAGGAATTCCTCCAGGGAAAAACTTCATATGGTGCCAAGATTTGATAATAACTCTCCAAACCCTATGAGTAAAAGCTGGTTTGTTTTCCTGGGAATGAGCAGAACTCCTTGGAATCAGGCCATAGATTAGTTACCAAATTCATGATCTGCAGGATTCCAGTCAAAGTCGTCATCTGTATCTTGTTGCCAAGCACAAGAACCTCGACCAAAGCTGCAGTCTACAACTGGGATGTCCAGAAACAGAGATTGAGATTCAGAGACAGGAAGACAAGAAGCTGTATTAATCAAAAATTGCAACAATAAAACTTAATTCAAAATATTGCCAAAGAATCCTACCTACAATACAACTAATGCTACAAAGCCCAAAGAAAAGTGTATTGTTACATAGGAAGCAATCTCATGATGTTCGAAGATTTCTTTATCTTAGCAAGCAGGAGGTTGAATCATGCTAGCATAGGTCTGGCTACTTCATTCTTGTATTACCAGGGATTTTGGAATCAAAATCCATTGTCTTGAAGTGGGCTGCTTATAATTATCCCAAGATTTTTTCAAACTAAAACTAAGCAAAAAAAAAAAAAAAAAGGAATATCTTTATTGCACCATGGCAACTTCAGACTGTGTGCCATAATATGAAAGAATATGCATTCATTTTATTTTTTACACTTTCCTTTTTAGAAAGTTTGCCCACCTCTACACCAGCTCAGTGTGAGGTAACACAATCTCAGATAGAGTGAAGCTTGCTCAATATGTTACTTCTGTACAATTTTTATGCTACCCTAAGCCACCTAGAGTCACTTATACAGTGAGATGGGTGGCGTATAAATTTGATTAATAAAGGAAAAATAAATAGCATAAAATGCACAGAACCAAAGGAATGATATACTTTAAAAAGGAGCCTTTAAAAAACAACAACTGATTTTTTATTTTCAGGAATAAAATATACAAGTAGAATTCCTTGAAGAAGGCACAAAATTTCGTCAGTTGTCCCCAACCTGATATCCTACAAACCAAGCGTAGGACACTTACAGTTCAGCACCACTTAAGAGTGCTGAAGAAAGCCCTGAATTTGAGTAGAAATTTGTTTAAAAAACCCTACAAGATTTTATAAACGTATCCAAAGGAATTTTTATTAATCCTTAAACAGCTCTGTCAGATTATTTCTGATAAATGTGAAACACAAGATTATTTAAAGCAATTTTAATAAAGTTAAACCAAACGTTAGCAGATCAAAATTTATCTCCTCAGTTAAAATTTGCCCACCTTGCAACTTTCCTTTTGAGACTGGATTTTTTTTTTGTGCCATGTGAGGACCAAAAACAGCAGCTTCTTTGTCTAATTTATTAAAGCATACATTATTAGTATCCATGCTGTTCAAATAAATACACATACACACAGGTGATCAAACAGATTTCCCATTGTGATAAATTACAGAACAAGCATATAAGAAAACTGATGACAGACTCCATTGCTGCCAGATCTGATGGTAGCAGCAGCTAGCATTCATTTATTTCTAATCATAAATCCAGAAAAGGTATTTCTGAAATTGCGTATGAACAGCAATAATAACCCCAAAATTTAAACAAAACAAAAACAAAAAACACCTGAAAGTGTTACTCCTCATATTACCAAAAGTTTGTCTTCCTGAGTACCATCCTAAGACAATTGTTTAAAATAAAGTCTTGTCCTTTCAACTGTAGATTAATAAGTATTTGCTTCCCTAAATGTAACTATAACGAATGTAAATCATCATTTGTGGCTTTGTGCAATGCACCAGCTCAGTCACCTGCAACTTATTCAACAAGCCATGGTATAAAAATGGAACTTAGTATAGCGTATGAAGTCAGTCATAGATTTTCTTCAGACAGGCCTGCCAGTCATTATCATATCTTGGTTTAGGAACTTATAGTCAGAGTGTGATTCCAGTTTGTTGTGTTTAGAGGAAATGCAAATCATGGATCCAAAAACAGGAGGAGGTGCGGTACAATCAGACTTGGAAGATTCTGTTATTCTAGCTAATCTCAGTAAAAGTTTTAGTTGTCCTGGAGTTGATTTCTTAGTCTGGTCTACCTAGTGGGGCTAACATACTGCAACCATGGAGGATGGTGTGATGATTCAGAGGGAAGGGCCGTGGCAGGACCTGCTCATGTCTGCAGGTAAAGGAACTAAGTCAGCTCTGCAAAAGTTACAGCTCAATCCCATTAAGGGATGCAGGGCTGGGGAACACTTGAGGATCCTGCTGGACCTGAGGAAGTGGGCAGGGTTCAAATGGCTGTTAGCTCAGCTATCTCTGTATTATTAGATCCATGTCCCTCCTGGTTGGCTAAAGCCGCCTGGTGACATGTGGTTGAGTCTTGGCAGTGGTTAATTTCTCTTTGAGAAAGGGGTTAGTTCCACTGTCTCTTAAGGAGGTGGTGGTCCACCCCCTCCTCAAAAGGTGTCAGCCTTGCCATTACAAGAGGTCATAACTGGACCCAAGAAAGCTGGAAGAAGCAGATTATCTGGACCCCTTTCAGTCAGGATTCAGGTCCAGGTATGGGACCAAGATGGCATTGTTCACACTCTTGGGTGATCTCTGGAGGGAGTGAGATGGCTGTGGTGCATCTGTCCCTACTCTTCTTGATCTCTCAGTGGCTTTCAATACCATCAATCATGAAATCTTTCTGGAGCTTCAGGGGTTGGGGGTGGGTGGCACGGTGCTATGCTGGTTCTCCTCCTTCCTCCGAGGCTGGTTCCAGTCAATGTTGATAGGGGAGGAGAGTTTCAGCCCATGGCCTCTACTCTGTGGGATGCCAGAGAGCTCAGTGCTCTCCTGTTTAACACCTACATGAAACTGCTGGGTGAGGTCATCTGTCAATTCAGGGCGAGGTATCATCAGTATGCAGATGATACCCAGTTATACATCTCTACCCTGGGCCATCTGAGTGATATTGTGGAGGCCTGTCTCGGTGTCTGGAGGCTGAGGAGGTCTAGATAGGGAACAACAAGCTTCAGCTCAACCCTAATAAGACCGAGTCGCTTTGGGTTTTAGGGCCCCTAGTTCTGGAGACTTTCCATCAATTGTTCTGGATGGGGTTGTACTGCCCCAGACAGATCCTTTGCACAATCTGGGGTTCCTCCTGGACTCATGACTCCTGCTTGATGAACAGGTGGCAGCCATGGCCAGGGAGGCCTTTGCATAGCTTTGTATTGTGTGCCAGTTGCTCCTGTCCTGGACTGGGAAGCCTGCTCACAGTTATTCATGCCTTAGCCAACTCCCAAATGGATTACTGCAATGCACTCTACATGGGGCTGCCCTTGAAGAGTATGCGGAAGCTCCAGCTGGTGCTCTGAGAGCTGCACTGGCTACCAGTATGCTTCCGACTGCAATTCTAGGTGCTGGTGGTTACCTTTAAAACCCTTCATGGCTTGGGGGCAGGTTACTTAAGGGACTGTGTCTCCCCAGTGGTGTCTCCCCATCCTGTTAGACCTGACAGGAGAGGCATGCTCCAGGTCCAGTCTGTGAGACAGTGTCATCTGTCGGGACCCAAGAAGAGAGCCTTTTCTGTCTTGGTGCCCGCCCTCTGGAACATCATTCCCCAGAAATGAGACTTGCCCCAACCCTGCTGGCCTTTTGCAAGACACTAAAACCTGGCTTTGCCATCGAGCCTGGAGCCCTGATAGCATGGGTGAGCTTGAGCAGTTGTGAGTCTTCCTGGCTGCTACTTTTATATTATTTTTTGTTGTTTTTAACTCTGGTTCTTTTTATTGTTTTAATAATGAGTCACCAAGAGTTATGTATATGAGATGGGTGGCCTATAAATTTACTAAATAAATAAAAAAGACCTGAGAGGGCAGGCTCACACATTATTATCTGGTGGCGTTAATCACATTCATCTCTCTTGAACAATTTGTTCCAGATGACCATCAAGAAAGAAAAAGCAGGAAAAAGAGGATGCCTTTGGCTTTTTTGCAGACCACCAGATAAAGACTTTCTCCATGCTCCCAACATCTGTGACTGGAGAATCCCTTGTTAACAAATTGGCAGCACAGCCCTGGTATCAGTTTCGATGAACCACTTTCGATGAAAGTTCCTAGCATCAAGAAGGTAATTTTGGAATAAGATCTGAGAGACCATGACATTGGAATGATAAATACCACACAAAATAAATCGTTAAGGCAGCATCTGTTAAAGCTTTGATCAAATTACTCAGTAACAGTTTGAGTAGGTAAATAAATACAGATTAGACACTTTGATAGAATATGATACAGGAACGGTTAAAATAATTATTGGCAAAGAATACATAGACCAATGAGTCATCTTTGGGTAGGGCAGAATATTTCATCCAAAGCTCAGTTAAACTTATTGTATCAACTACTATTTTACACAGCTTGTTTTTCAGCACAAGTTTTATTTAAGAAAATGAGAAATTTTATGAGACGCAGGGGCCCCACAGTGCCTGACCTGATTAGAAAAATCTGTTTTTCTCCCCTATTGACAAGCTAGAGGAATTTATTCATATGTATGACTTGTGTGGCTATAACCCTGTGGTTCCATGACAGTTTGTGTCATATAAAGAAGAAATCCTAGAACACGTCTGGCAGAGATACAAAGTCATGAGCCATAGCGAGGCAAGGAAAAGTTGTACATGTCCGTCTCCTTTAAAAAGAAAATAATTAACAAGATGCTCTGTTCTGCCTCTGTTCTGCCTATTCTGCAGCTATAGAATCCAGCATCAGAGGCTTAAGTCAGATTGTTACTGCACACCCACTGTTTCTTTGTGGGTGGCTAAATATTAAAATACATTTTTTAAAGGCTATTTTATTCCTATTGCTGTGAGGATATTTGCCATGAGGCCATTTTGAGCAGCAACATTGTGGTCACTATAACATATGGTCTCTTCTCAGCTTTGCTGAAGGATCCATCAAAGTCCATTCACATATTTTTGGCAATTGCCATAAGGGACATGGATGTATTGGGACAAAAATAATACATTGCCATTATGGGAACAACTATTAATGAGCTTTGAGGTTGTGCTGTCTCCCCACCTCTCCTGCAGCTGTCTGCAAAGTTTCTTTTAAGACTGATCATTTATTTAGTGTGTTTCTTAAATCCTATGCTGAACTGAATATTAAATAATTTGTGGAAACAAGGCAGCTTCTGGAGGTAACTAATATTCTTTCACATGTTCTGAGACTCCCATTCTTATCAGACTCAGCCACTTTGAGTGAGAGATTTGGGATAAAAGGACTTAAATTACAATATCACCTGGAGGTCAGAAATTCTTCATACTTGTTCTGTAACAGAGTTAAAATAAACATCCACAATAATGCCTCAAGAGTTTTGGAAGAGAACTCAGAGTTGCTATATTGTGGGATATATCAGCAAAGAAGCATATTAAAATTACTAAGAGATAATTAAAGGTCATTAAATATAAATTATAATTTCCCCTAAGTTTATATAAGTCTAATTCTACAAGCAAAGTTAAATAGCAAATATTTTAAAATACCGAAAAGCAAACTGTAAACATTTTTAATTGTTTAACAATGCTCCAAAGCACTTCAGTGTTAATGGCCTTTAAAGGCCATGAATCAACCATCTCATTTATTGAAGTGTGCTTTGTTATAGTGATATAACACTATATATAAGTGTTATATATAACGGTTGTTTCAAAATTCTTAAGCAAAATAAATGTAATTCATATAACTTTTAAAAACAATTTGAACACATCACAAATTTTGATTTACCAGTACTATGCTTAGGTACAGTATAAGCTTTACACACTAAATTATTACTACCACTGCAAACTTGTAACAACTGATTCCATTGTTAAATAAGGTTCAGTTGAAAGCATAGAGGTAATCTGAAATCCTAAATACTGAAATGTTAATAAACCATGAACAGCTACTCATGGTTATAGCTGGGTGCTTTCCAAGAAAAATAGATGTGGTCATGACTGTCTTTGAAGGGCAGCCCATCTGAAAGTCACCTACAGAGTTTGTACAGCCTGTTCTAATCCTACAGTATCTCCTTTCTGATTGACTGACTGAAATGTAGTGCAGATTCCTCTCTGCTTCCCTACATTGGAAAACTGGGTGCATATCTCATCCTGTTCTCTCACTTCCATCCTTAACAGTCTTTAAAAAATGCCCTGTTGAAAGTTAGTCGGCTGGTTATCAGATTATGATGATATGATTTTAGGATCCTGGGGGCTGTGAACTGCTCACCAATGCCTTATACCATGGGGCCACAAGCTGTAGGTCCCCGAGACACACTGTTGCAATGGCAATCTCATAAAGAAATCTGGGAAAGAAAAAGGAGTTTTTCAAAATGTGGTAGATGAGGACAAAATAGACATTTCAAACTCAACCCTTAAACAAAGTATCAATCCATCTATTAGGGAATCTGTGAGAAAGAGAACCAAACAGCTCACAGAGACCCCATTTTAATATACTTACTGTGTGGGCTGGAGTGTACTTACCTAATTTCCAAGATTCTGTAACCTAACCCCTTTTTCCTGGCATTAACTGATTAACTGAACTCTGTGGGAATCAAACTTTCTTGATCATGTACTACTGTTAGGTGCTGACTCCAGCCCCTTCTTTAGCTGTTGATTTGTGGTAATCATATTAGGTTAGGGTTTGCCTTGCTCAAATGCAGCTTCCAGCATTTTCGATAAGGTCCACATGAATCTTTTAATCCGAGAAAGGTTGCACATCTAGATCTTAAGCAATTACTTAGCTGCACGATAGTTCTCCTACCTGCTGCCCTCCAGATGTGCTGGCAGTAATCAATACCCAGTCAATATAATGGGTATTGTAGCTGTAGTCTCAAGACATCAGAAGTGCTCTAGAATAGAGAAGACTAACTTACATGAGATTTAACGAATTTAATATATAATAAATGCATAATATTATGTCTCCTTATCTGGCAGGATCTATTTACCAATTGTACGTACTTGTTTAAAAATCCTTGGCCATTAATTTACTGGACAAGTGCTGTCAAAAACTGCCATAAACTTATGGATTTGGGAGAAAAGAGTGAAACTTACAAAATACATCTCCCCTGAGTTTCTTCTCATGGGCGGTCTGGTTTTCAAGGTGTTCTCTTTCTCCTTTTTCTTCCACACCTTCTTTCTCTACTGTTTTTCTGTCTCTTCTGACATCTTCAGTGCTTTTCCCCTGTTCACTGAAGGCACTCTCTGGATACAAGCCACCCTCATAGTCTAATGGCCTCACATGAGCTTTAGATGCTGGGATTGCATTTTTTATGTCCTCATGCTTTTTTTCACTCTTCTTGTGAAGAAGCAGTTTCTTGAGCTTCTCTTTAGTAACTCCAGAGATTCTGGGAATTGCTTTCACTGAATTTTCATGAGCAACTGGGGGAGAAAAATAACAAAAAGACCAAATAAGTGTCCAAATTATCTTACATTTTAGTAAACCCATTTCATCTTGAATTTGGAGCACTCTGACATCGGAACACCCCAATTTCTCCAAAAACCTGATGTCTGTAGTTCTAATATGTATGAAAAAAGAAGAGAGAGATGGTTGTATTTCTCTGTCACTTATTTTTTCATATTTCTTATGTTCTCCTTTCAATTTAAACTGTAATTGTGAGGGGGAAAATATTTATTACCCACATAAAATCAAAATGAACATATACTTCTATGTTTTTAAAGGTAGCTGTCTACTGTATTAAAAACTTAGTATGAGAGAAAGAATAACATGACCTTCCAATGAAAGCAATTCACTTTCAGTATTATTAGTAACTGAATTCAGTGTATAAAACCTTAGCTATAGTTCTTAGCAAGATAAACCTGAATAAAAACAAATCACAGCATCTCTCCATCCTATGGATAACATGTTCAAATTACTTTTATCTAGATGTCTACATGCCAATGTTATGTAAATAATCTACTTAAAGTTCTTTTCCCCCAGATACTGATGTTATAAGAGAACATACTGTAATTTAACAGATGTGGTTCACTGATTCTCTATTCAGGATATGATGAGAAGAAGTTAATAGGAAACCCTGATTTGCAACAAATTTGTTCTCAGCAATCATGAAGACAGATCCCCAGCATTTTGATAAATGGCTCCATGAAGGATCTTTGACCAGCAAAGCAGAATGTCTCCATATAGAGCTGAGATTGCACCCAAAACCAAGATCCCTAAGCAGTGCTAACCAATATAAAAGTAAGGAAAAAGATTTTATCTTTAGCTCTTAAAGTATCTAGCAGGAAACTAGGGACATTTCTAAACAACTTTATAGATAACCATCTCTAGTATAAATTGTACCCAAGATCATTGCTCTAGACTATTTTTATTGTTTACAAATCTATTCCTTGTTTCCCTTCTTTGAAATTCTTCCTGCCTGTATGGTACAGTAATCCAAGTAAATGAGCAGAAGTGCAATTGACTACAGTTAATTAGCAATAGATAAGCTTTTTAACAAAGTCCCAGGCTGGGGGCGTCATGTCAATTCCAAAGAGAGCAATTGCCTTCCGAGGAATTTTCCCCACAATAAGAATCTATTGATTTTTTGTGCACTTGCAAGATTATATGACCACAAGGGCATTGCATCTTCTAGTAATCCCCTGAGGAAGAAATGGGGGAAAAAGCACTTTTCCAGTGATTGAACTTTGCTTTTTATATTTCACAGGCAATATAAAAGAAGTCAGGGATGTAAAAATGGTGAAGGCTGGAGAGGCAACCACCCTGAGGCTCCACCTTTCATGCCTTCAAAAGATCTTATAAAACAGGAGCCATAGGAGAGGAGCAATGCAGAATAATCTAAACAAGGAGTTGAGTAAAAGAGAACTTGCTCCCAGTCTTGTCCTCCCAACTTTGTAGTTAAATAAATAAATAAATAGCCAACTGTCAGAGACTTTGCTTGAGCTACCGTATTTTTCCAACTATAAAATGATACTTTTTTCTAAAATACTTACCCTAAAAATTGAAGGGCGTCTTATTCAAGGAAGTCAGCCGAGAATCGCACGGTTCCAAACTGCCCTTACTTTGTTTCTGCAGAGAGGCTTCCTCCTATTGCTAGCCTCCAATCATGAGTGAAATAGC